GTATTTTCTGAATAAAGAATATTCAACACATGCACATTTGGCATGCTTTGAATATCCTGACACTTTCCCCAAAGGAGTAGTGTAACAATAAGGGGACTGCACTGGTCCCAGAAGCAGTTTTACCCCTGCTCTGGAATATTTAAGGGGATCACTACAAGAAAAAGTCAAGCAAATGGTGTCAGTTGACATGAATGAGCTCAGACCACACTCTGCATTGAGCTTGAGTTGAACTCACACTTTTGTTGTACCTTGTTCTGGTCCACCCCTTTGAAGTCTCAGGTTGTACCACCAAATTACATCAGCACAATGACCTCAGCTTACATTGAGGTTTGATTGAAGCTTGATGCATGTCAACTGCTGACAGTTGCTTGACTTTTTCTTGTAGTGGATGACTATTTCCCTGAGATTCATCACCCAGACAATTATTACCATACAAACCCACCAACCTTACTAAATATTACATTATAATAAATAGTGAGTGGGTTTTTTACAGTAGTCTATTGTTACATTACCTATTACACTTTCCCTTATCTTATTACTGTTCTTTTTAAGTTACATATTTAACTTATAAAACTAGTACAAGCTTATTTCTCTTATAATATCTCATCTCAGGCACTGTGAAGCTCATTCCACAGTTGTCCCTTATTCTTATAAGGAGATAGCCCCTCCACTGTACAAGTGTTGAGAGGATCATTTTCCACTAGCCACTCCTTGGCTATAGTGTGACCCTTTACCCCATCAACTCTTGGTCACATAAGAGACCAGAGCAAAAAAATGTACCTGAAGACCAATCAAACCATTCTTCATCAACTCCATTTGAAAGTAACTATACATCCTGTTGTTGTGATGACCCTTAAAACTTGGCTTATATTCACACAAAAATAAAAATAACAGATATTTTAATAGTTATGAGAAATTCTTTGACTCAATTCAGTAATAGAATAAGCAAAAATAGCATGAAAGAATAATGGAGAATATTTATTAGTATAAGGATTTTTAAAGAACTCATGAAATGATGGTTTTGTTATGAGTCCACTAGACCAATGCAAAACTTCAAACCAAACCAAATCTAAGAATCTTCCTTTACTGATTGTATATGTTGATTCACCAACAAAAATTTGAGAATAAAATTCATAGTTTTTAGCTGCATCTTTTATCAAGATCTCATTTTGATTTAACTCTGCATTCTTCTGATCTTCTTTGTTGACAAGAATGGAGCTAATCATATCTACATAAATCAAAAATAATGTGAAATGCATCTTCATGTCCTCTTCACCAACATTCCTTTCACAATTTATTTCCAGATCTTGGAAATCAATTCCAGTTTTGTCTCTATAAAATTTGAACCAAATGTGGCTTTTAGATGCAAAAATTTCAAATGCTTTTACTTTCAAATCTTTCCTTTTTTTCCAAACACTCTTTGTTGGTTTTCCAGTACTTCTCAGATGATGATGATGATCTTCTTCTTCAAGGCTTTTATAATTAGGCCCTCGACCAGTAGCTTTTTTAAGATCTTGAGCTGCATCTTGTGGGTTACTTACATCAATCATTAATGGTTTTTCTGGACCATTTTTATCAATGATTTCAATGATTTTTTGGATTCTGTTTCTATCAAGGCCTGAAGCTTCTTCGATTCTAAAAACATTTGAATCAAATATAAGGGTTGTGGATGGTCCTTCACTGTTGAATCTTGGTTTTTTGAAATGAAGAGTTTTGGAAATCAATGGTTCTGATGGATTTGTGACAATGAAAGATTGGAAAGCTGGCTCTTTTTCAAGGTTTGTTTCACCATTCCTTTCATATGAGTTTCTCTTCCTGTTATCTAATGGAAAACTTGTGATATGCTCTTCCACTGTTCCTACATTCTCATGAGATGAACCTGCTTCCACATTAAGACATGGAGCAATCAAATGTACATTTTGCTTACTGTTGCTTGAAGAATCAATTGCTGGTTTTTTTGAGTTGTGGTCTGTCCTTCCATCAGGTTTTTGATGTAACTTGATCAAGTTTTGTTTGTTATTGGTTTTTTGTTTTTTAAATGAATTTTCATGGGATGAAAGTAACTGCTTATCCAAGTTATTTTGAGCAGCAGCTGTTGTTGAAGATGATGATAAACTGACAATATTTATGTTTTTATCCTGATTTTCTTCTACCGATGGCCAAGGGCCCTCTTTCCCTTTGCAAGAATTCACGATTCTCATGAGATCTTGACTATCTCTTGTCCAAAACTCATTCCAATCATCAGGAACCACAGGATCTAGGTGAGAATGAACATGGGGATCCATGACACTTGAAGGAGGAGAATTGGGATTGTGGAATGATAGTAGTGGTTCTTGGGTGGAGATAGATTCAAATGTATTGGTCCTCATTGACAGTGGGGTGTCGGAATGCGAATTTTGAGCTTGTGATGTTTTGATGGGACTGAGAATGCCATCTAACGTTGGGGGCGAATCCAGCTGACTCCAATGATAATCATCTACAGCTTTGCATGCATAAATCAGTGCCAGACCAGCAATAGATGTGGACCTGAACATTCCTGCAAAGGATGAAATTGAGAATTTGAGATATTGTCATCCCTTCGTTCAACTTCAACTTCAAGGTAGAGGATCAGAACTTGCGACTTACTTGAAAGCACTCGTCGGCCAGGTTCGGAGCAGAAAGAGTACAACTATTTAACGACACAAGCTGTAAGCACGTCTTCGTAGTATAGAGTTAAGTGCATGCTTGGTTCAACTGTCTCAACTGTTGTTAACCAACTTAATAAGGTTATCGGACGCAGCAATTGAAATTTATGTTCAATTAGGTGTTTTCCTGATGATTTGGTGGTATTCTTGTGGCTTTTAGTAGAAGACCGAGGGTGAAAGTTGAGTGCGACACGTTCAGTGCCGAATTTGAGCTGCCCTTGGACTCCAGCTTTTGTCGCGATAATGCAGAATTGGTTGCTGGAAAGAAATATCAAAGTAGAAAACCTCAAAGAAATAAGCCTAAACATGAATTGAGTGATAGTCAACTCAAGAAGCTCAAAGATCCTCAAATTTTGAAAAATTCTTCTACTCAGATTTGTAAAATTCCAAAGGGAAAGAGGCATTCTCCACGAAGCATGAGGATGGGATATGTATTCGCAATGCTTTTTTTAAGGTACACAATGGAAGTGAGAAATTTTGGGCAAATAGAAATGAGTCTCTGGCCAGGCTTAGTGCAGCACGAGCAAGACAGTAGTTCATCTGCTAGGGTCTTCCAAGATTGCCACATGAGCGAGTCGGGTAGGTCCTAGAACCCAGGGGAAAAGAAAAACTCTAGAGAGCTTCTTGGGAGCCCACACTCCAGTCTCGCATATCCCTCTTCTTCCTCTTACCCGGAAGGATACTCCAGAGTCCAGGTACAAGAAACGAGTCGGAATCTTCGACCGTATTGAGCAAATTCAAATCAGCTGTAACATCGTTGGTGTAAAAGGCTGGGTATATATACAATGTAGATTGAGCAAGCTTGATGAGCTCTGGGATTGTGAAATCCGATTTGTGTTCATTTAAAAACGTCAGGTCTAGGCTGGTAGGAGAAAAATACATTCATTTTATAGGTTACATTGACTTGGATGTTTGGGGTAGCGGTCGAGACCAATAAGCCTGTTAGTATTATATCGAGACATGAGCCACATCATGACCCGAAAAGAAAATTTTAATAAAAGGTCAAAACCCGATCCATCTTGTAAGATCAACCCAAAAAGAAGAAGAAACGTACCATTTTGATAGGTTCATCACGTTGGTTTGGATTGGGATTCTTGACCAATTTGACATTATCGATCGGATGGAAATGTCGAATTAAGTACTGATAAGTATCTGGGTCGATGTTTTTCGATAGCTTTTCCAAATCTTCTTGATCGAAATTGGAGAATGATGGATCGATACTTCCTTGTTGGATATGATGTCGTCTAATCAATTCTACGATCGTCGTTAAGTCCAATCTCGTTTCACGTTTCCTGGTCGGGTCTTGTGTGTTGGAAGGTGATGATGATAGCTCGTGTTCATTTGTACGATCGGAGGAATAATTTCCCCTGTTCTCTAAGATCCTTAACATGTTATCTTTCTTGTTTTTTTCCGTGTCATGTTGTGCATTGTATTGTTTTTATGTTTGTGAAAAAAATGAGGACATCCTTCTTCAGTATCGCATGTTGATTTCAATCGAGTGAACACTCAAATGCACATACCGGATGGAAATTTGTCGATAACTTGGGTACTTGGACTGGGCCTAACTTGTTCAACATGTGACCGAGGTGAGGATCAAAGCCATCCTGCTTGATTTCTGAATCAGGAAGCAAGTTTTGATCAACATCAACAAGCGACAAACTCTTGTTGGCGAAATAAGAGAACACTCACCATTCGTTTTGGTGAAACTCACACCACTCGTGGCCGATTTCGTAGGTGTTGGTTTAACATTCTTCTGAGCTACGGCGGTTGCAGTTGATCGGGATAGTTTGGAGGAGTTGAGACCCATGGTTCGACTGATCAAGGTGAGATGGTGGTTTTCTCCAACTGTAAACCTGGCGAGTGTTTGATCGATCGAGCAGATTTTCCAACCCTCATGCTCTTCAGTAATAATCCGCAAGTCGGGTCCAATACCATCAACTCAAACTGCACACAATCCAGCTGCTCATAAAAACCTTCCCTGCTCGTCCCCAGGCCAGAAACAAAAGCAGTCCAACAACTCAATTATCAAGTCAGCCTCTCTGCGTTGAAGGATAGGATATGACTCGAACCAAGGATTCCGATTGAGATACTTCTTCTCCCAATCAACCGATGACCTTCGGACAAGCATATTTGCATAGAATATTCCTAATCAAGATGGGCGCAATCAGCTATCTGTGGACACACTGGAACTTTCCGATCAACTCCGTTCAACAAAGGGGTGCCTTGAGAGGCGCAAAATATTGACCTTCATTAGATCAGTCAACACATCACAGGCTGAACCTCAAGTTATCAAGCAGCTTTCTGGTAAATATACTATGGCTACTATACACATTTAAATGTGAAATTGTAGACTTCCTGAGAGAACCAAGCTGCTGGATCACCGATTGGTAGGTAATTGATAGCGGAGCGCAACCCTTAAGATGTAACAAAATATGGCAGCTATGGCTTCATGAGAAAAAAAAAATCGATCGATCTTGGAAGTGTCTTAATTACATATTTTTTTCATTCAAGATCATAGATCGAATACTACTTTTGTGATGGGGGATGAGCTACGAGAGTTCTGGTCGACCGAAGGACATTCGTCAACATGCCGATGGATTTGTGCTACAAAAAGATAGAAAACGTTTTCAACGCCAGTCACTCCTTCAGTTGAACACCTGAAGTTTTTGCTTACAGCAAAATCCCACCATCCACGTTCATTACTAAACCGTCGCAATATTGACCACCTTTTCCGCAAAGCTGGTAACAGACGCAAATGATGTAGAAAGCGCTCATAAGAATAATCACGTATGTGAGATATCAGGAGACGGGATACTAACATAGAGGATCGATGCCGCCATCTCCTCTAGCCTTCCCGGACGCCCAGCCGGGATTTTGTATTTTGAAGCATCAAAAGACTCCGAGATGTCACTTTTACCTCGACTTAAAAAAGTGTTGATTTGTAGAGTGCAGAGAGACGACCCGAATGAAGTATCAGGTTAGCCCGAGAAATTCAAGAATAAAATTATCACGGAAGACCTAGTCAACTCAACTCATCGCTTCCGCATTTGGCCGTCTTGATAAAAAAGAGTTCGGGTCAGCGCAAAGCTTCTGAATTGAAGCTGAAATGTATTTCGAAATGGTCTCCAATTCTTACCATTTCAGAAGGAAAAACCCCGGGAGCGATTGAATTGAAGCGGATCTTACTATTGGCAAGCTCGCATGCCATCATTCTGATTCGACCCAGAGATTGTCAGAGTATTATAGAGAGTTGGGGATCACCTTGACGAAATACTCACTTGGTGAGATGAATGGCAGCTGCTTTACTGGCATTGTAAGCAAAATGGTTTTGTGATATTTTGACCATTCCACTCTGTAGAAATGGAATCACATTGAATCGTGAGGTTGGAGTTACATCAAAATGAGTAAGATTTACTTCGGAAAGGCTGAGAATCCATTTCTTCTCAAACTTACGATCGAGGTGATGTTGACTACTCCGCTTCGATAATTCATATTATTATCACCCCCTTTTGCTAATAATGGTAAAAAGGCAACTGTGGTGAAAAAGACGCCCGAGACATTTGTCCTCCACACGGAATCCCATTGATCAAAGCTCTCATTTTTGAGGAATTTTTGAGATGCCTCTTCAATCGAGTGCCCATTACTGAAAACCTCTGTCTTTGGACCAGAGATTCCAGCATTGTTGACCTGAAAATTGAGGAGAAATCGAAATCCATTTGAGTAAGTTTCTAATAGTTTTTTAGCGAGGGTACTCATTCAATCAATACGGCCATTTCAAAACTACCACAGACCAGAATTTGTATGCCATTAGGTTCCTTTTCCGAAATATCTTTGATGATCTTTTCTAAATCAGATTTCTCGGTCACGTCTGCTTGGAGCCTATGGTAGAGCGCAAAAATTCATGACATCTTCAATGTGATTATCATGGGCGATCAGTTGAACTGAAGGAAAAGGGATCAGTTTTTCTCGACTTGCCCAATGATTTCTCCTTTGGCGTGTTTGTGGTAGTTATCCACAGCTTGGTTCAATACTTCTTCTCTCCTTCCGGTTATATAAACTTACAAGGGGAAAATAAACAATCGGTGAGATTTGAGATGTTGCTCTACTTATACTGCTAAAACGAAACTAAAGAAGAAGCACCGCAGCATTTGTTTTCCTGGGAAAGGAAATCGTTACTCTAGACGTACCTCTGGCACCATGAGCTGCTAAGGCTTGAGTACACATCAAGCCAATTCTAATTATTATTATTATTTTTCGAAAAGGAGTGGTGGTCAGCAATCGCGTCGTTGGCACAGTAGCTGGCGAGGTATGAATTAGATCCTATCGATAGCGGAGGGAAGGAAAGTGGAGCAGAAGGTCCGAGCAAATTCTTATATGACCTACCCGGTTCCGCCACCCGTGACGACAGCTACAAGACCTTTGAGACCGAAAAGGGAGTCGAGTGAAAGAGCCTGTTTTAACTCCTCTGAGGCTCCATTTGCTGCAGCGTCAGACATGATCAGAGATAGATATCGCAAAATATGTGTCGATTCTACTATATTTTTCGTTGGTCGTGACCTAGCACTAATTTACTGTTTCCAACTGATGATTGCACAGGAGTCGGAGTGGAAAGCAGGATGGTTTTTGAGTTGGGAAAGGACAAAGTTTCCGGGAACAGGGTCGGTGGATGAAGAAAGTGAATGGTCAACGGAGGTCTAGTTTTTATATCATCAAGAGGATGAAGTGGAACTTTGAACTTGGGTTGGTGGAAATCAGTCTATCTTTTGGCGGGTGATCAACGATAAATGAGGATGATGTGTGACGTCATCGGGGGATTTCCCAGCTGTCTGACTCAGCCAGGTTGGCTGTTAACCATTCTTCATCAAGATCGCAATTTGGATCGGGCTTTCGTAATCCAGAATTTGATGGGCAAAGCACTCTTTCACATCGCAGGCATTCAGAGAAAAAGTGCCAAATCGCTGATTCAAATCAGAGTAAATATAAATATTTTTTTGGCTGATAGTGGGATCTAGTGTGGCCTGCGGTCTGGAGAAAGTGATCGGGATTTTCATTGAAAGAAGCAAATAATTCACCCTTTCGTTCTGTTTGAAAATTTTTGTCGATTTGTTTAAAGAATGGTCACATCTTGTTTCATCATTACACATCTCAAAAGATGAATTTAAAAACAGCTTTTAAATTATTATAATGGTGAAATATTCCCGTATCTATAAAAAATGATCATCCAAACAGAAAACAAACAGACGACAAAATTGGTATCATAATACAAATACTGATCAAACTCTATGAATAGTCGAACAATTAATCAGGGTTAAGTGGTTTGAAGACCTGCTCAAATAAATGTGTTTAGTTTTAAATAAATGTCTTTATAAGTTTCAAGTAAAATAATCATTATTGGAGTTCCAGCTGGTGAAAAATAATCCAGGGGAGTCGTTATCAAGCATCCCAAATGGAGCCCTACATAAGAACAGAAGTATTTATTTAGAGCCAGAAGCGTGTGATGCTTAGGGTAAAGATGATGAAAAGCTCACAAAAACGGGTATTCCGCGTGCTCTCGATGTCCTTAAGACACTTTTGTTCAGAGCAGGACTTCCGATGAATAGCGCAACTAGTATCATCGTATCATTCAATGGAAAAGAAATCAGAAAGCGTGAGTTTTCGTACTTGAGTGATTGTCCATTGAAAAGAAAACATAAATACTTTGAGCGTTCCACTGTTTGTAAACTCTCTCTAATTCAACATTGACATCTGGCCTTCCAAGAGGACCTCTGGTATCCCAAATCAAAAGTCGCTCGGGTTGGATCTTACTTTTGATGAAATCCATAAACTCGGTGCCATAAGTGCTTTCTAAATCAGCTCCAATCCAAATTAAGAACCAATCATCGTGTTGGATGCATGTTGATCCGACAGCCCCAATACCCGATCCCGTACAAATCGCTACTCCCCGGTGGAAAAGTCTGGAAAAATATGGCAATCCACATGGCTTTTTTGTTGGGGGGGAGGCAAATTAGAATTAGAAAAGACGATCCAGGGAAGGAGATTACGAAGTATTTTTTTTGGTAAAGCATGTTAACCTTCCAAGTTTTAGTGTACAAAGTTTCTGGTTGATCTTCATTCATCGCCCGCGTGAAACCACCCTGAACAGCCATGACGATGTAATGACAATCCGCGTGTTTTCCTTCACTGCTCTTCAAAATAAAGGTAAGAAAGCCAGAATCTACTCTAATCCATCATTGGCGTGAAATATAATTGACCTGATTGAACCGAAGATGTGCCATTCTCTTAATCCACCACGGGAGACTCGAGTGTGAAGACCAGATGTCAAGCCACCTGGGACTCGGATTATCGAAGCTTTGTTAGAGGGCTATTTGAGCGTATGGAGCCAAAAGAGCCAAGTCAAATGAGTATTCCAGAACCTTTTGGAGGTATGCTTTACCCACCGCTTGGACTGTCACAGGTACATTGCGGACAGTGATCCATTGACCTACGACTCTTTTGAATAAAATGATGATTCAATTAGTCTGATGGAATTGCGAAAGCTGCAACGTAGGATGAATGGTAAGCTTACAGCGGTATGATGAAAATCATAAACCAAAACTCCTCTTGTCCCACAAGATGTTTTCCAGATGCTCGCCAGGATTGCGTGTTCACGTCCCACCAACTCGAGGTAATTACAAAAATTAAACCGGTGATGATTCCTAACCTTGAAAGTATTGATGGAAGAAAATGGGAGAAGACTGGTTTGAATGGCATATATATTGTAAGAATCAAAAGAAAAATGTAGCTTACCATCCTAAAAATCGATGAGTTATCTCGAACAAACTGTGTCAGAGGGAATTATGGGAGAAAAAATCGGTAAGAATCAATTTGAATGGCTTTCAATCGGAATCTTCAAAAACTTAGCACACTTGTGATGCAATGCTCTGATGAGAGGTGTTGCAAAGAAGCAAGTTGCAACAGTCACGGTCATGGAGAGACACAATGACGCCAGAACCAAATAATGGTAAAGGTTTTTGTTCAAGATATGTTCTGTCCAAGCAAGGATGAGCCACATCATTGCACCGATGCCGCATCCACTATGCAACCCGCCTGAACACAGATCGCATCACATGGATTATCTTGAGGTCAGCTTCCACAGAAAACGAGCAGTGTGACGAACCAAGTGATAAGACTTGCCGATGTGGTACAGGATGGCTACGACTATCACTCGGAACTTCAAGGGGGTCCATATCCTGAACAACTTGATAGAAAACCAATACAGTAATCGCATCACCCATTCGGATCGGATCGCAATCGTCACCAACAGATTTCCGGTGACAAACCCAGAAGAATGGGTCCTGGCGAAGTGCCAACCACCGGACAGAGTGACCAGAATCATGACGGCC